ATTGAGTCATGACGCAATTATTTTTGAGGATTTTGGGAATTGAGTCAACAGCAAAATAATTTACGCCACATGTATAGCTATACCCATTCCTAAGCCACTTAGACTATCAAGTTACTTATACCATCTAATTGTTTACAGTGTCGGTCTTACTGCGACAGTTCAACTCGAAGAGGCAACTGTCAGAAAGAATCTTTATGATTACTTCTTTAGAAAGAGACACCTTAGATATTATGAGGAAGGATTACCAAACTATCGTTACTTGAAACTGAACTCCTTCTTCACCTTTTTGACCATCTTCCAATGATCATCATATCACAACTCCTTTTATGGCTAGGTCACAATTTCAATACCTACTGAATCAGCATGTGAATTGACTTCTTATGAAAAACAGTGCTTAACAGGTTATGACATCAGATACTATTTTTAATTCGATTTAACTACTTCCACATGAAATTGAACTGGTATCTTGTGATCTGACCTGTGAAGTGTTAACTACTGCACTATTGATCTACAGGTTTAGAAACAATAATTATATTTATATAAAATTATTTAAATATATTAACTATAATAAAAAAATAAAAAATTTTAATAATATAGTATCAATTGTTTTAATTGATTAAATTATCTTTATATTTATCAAGTATTTATTTATTTTTATAATAAAGATAAAATATCAGTAAAAAATAATTTTATTTATTTATTTATTTAAATTTATATATGTGTTCTTAATATAAAAAAACAAATAATAAAAATTTATTATTTAAAGCTTTTGTATTTTATATTTAAAAAATAAAACACTTTATCTTAAAATTTTAAACTATAAGAAAAATCCTTTACTTAAGTTGATATTTATTATATAAATTGAAATTAAAAAATATATTATAAAAAATTTTATCTTTTTACAAAAAAATATTAATTATCACATTATTATAAAACTATTAAATAGATATTATATCAGTTTTTCCTAATATATATACTTTATTATTTTAATTTTGATAATTTGATAATTATATAGAAGTAATCTTTTACATATGGATTTTTTCTTTATAATAATATTACAAAAATTAGAATAAAATTTTATTAATATTTATGTAACAACTTTACTTTATTAATAAAGATTGTGAGAAATGCCTCACTTAACAGTAAAAAAAAATTTTTTATTAATATTTATCAAATCTATTTTATTAAAAAGAATAATTAAAAAAATTTAATTTAATTTAATAATTATTAAATAAAAAATATGCATAATAGAATATAAACTATATTATTATAGACCTATGGGTCTATAGCTCAGTGATAAAGCTCCATAGGTTACCAGGTGAAGGTCTAGAGTTCAAACTCACCTGGTTACAAAAATTTATCACAATTTCTTCTTAATTAAGCTGCATAAAGGTAGGATTTCTGGCTTTTCCAATGGTTACGGAGTTGCAATATATCACATAAGAAAAGAATTATATGAAAAAAGACTTCTGGTCTAATTCCGATTAAACCCCACAATACATCACACAAAAAATATCACGTCAAATTTGGATGTACAGACTGGGCTGTACTCTATCTTAATCAATCCCGTTTGTCCATATAGAGGTTAATCCAAGTTGATCAAGGTCACACAAAAGAATATAACCAGGATATATTGGATTAATCACTTCAAAAATAGCTATTCTGCACACACACAGCCTTATAACCTGCTAGAAGTTGGCGCAATCTGGATCAGTGGCCCATTGGAGAAAAAGTAGGGCTATTAAGCTGAAATGGAGACCGTTGGGAAGGTTTTCACTTGTAAAGACAAGATTTTCCTTACCCTTGTTATTAGTAGTATTGATCAAACTGAGAGGCCAATGAGATGGGCCACTTTAAAAGTGTAACATGTTTCATTGAACACGAACTAAAAAGGTTGATAGGCTAGCATTTAATTGTAGTCATGTATTACAAAGAATATTTGATATAATAAGTAATATTGAATTCCAATAAAAATTTGCATCTAATGCCATTCAACCTTAAAAAAAAAAATAAATAAAATAAACTATATTATTATTACAAGATATTGTTGATTATAGGTATATTTTTTATTTTACAAATATTTTATATTTTGTAAAATGTTTTTTAATTATTTATGTTCACTATAGGACTTGAAATTTTTATCAATTAAAATAAATATTTTTCTTATTTCACAATTTTAAAAAAATTATAAAAAAATAAACTATTTTAGTTAATAATACAATTTTATCTTTATAAAACAATTAAAAAAAAATTATCTATTATAGATAAATCAGATATAAAAAGTATATCAACCAGATATAATGTATAATATTTTTTTTTGTTAAATAATTGTGATCATTGTTAAAACATTAATTATAAATGATCAAATGGTTATTTTAATATATGAACATGAATTTTATTTAGAATGCTATAATAAAATGAAAAAAAAAGTAAACATTGTTTAAGTTATTATAAAGATGGCATATAAAAAAATATTAATACATTTTTAAAATATTTAAATTCAGAAAAAAATAACAATGATAATTTAGATAATAATGAACAAAAAAATATTAAAAATGAGAATTTAGAAAAATCTGAAATTGATTAACTAAATATACATTTAATAGAATTAGTGAAATTGATAATTGATAATAAAAAAATTAATTTTACTTACATGTAAACAATATTTTTGAATTTCAAAATTTATATTAACAATTATAATAAAATCATATAAGGTTTGAATGTTCAAATAAAATATAGTACTAGCTAAGTCCATCTTGCTGTTTCTATAAGTACAGCTTAATATGTCGGATTTCTTAGTCTAAATCGTATAACTAGAATTTAGTTAAACATAAAAAACACTATTTTTTTAAAAACAACAGAATAATAAAACTTTTTACCGAATTTAACTATACCATATTAAATTTAAAGATAGGTAGACGAACAAGTTGTCAAAAAACCTGCAAAGTTTCGTGAATGGTTAATATGTAATATAACCTAGTTTGTATATGGACGAAGTTGGATTTTTCTCGTTTAAATATAAAAAAATTTTTTGTGTCGATCAATCAAATAGATTAATGTTGTTTTAAGATTTAAAATCAACCTATTGCATTTTATATATTTATTAAATAAAATATTTTGATTCAAAACTTATACAAGTACAAATAATAGATTATCTTATAATAGTTTAGTTAATGAGTGAGAAATACTGTATATTGTAGTTTATGGAAAATATTTAAATATTTGATGAAAATTATGATTTTGAATGGTTATTGGTAAGACTCGGTATATACTGTATGTTGAACGAAGTTTTTCTGCCTACAAAAATATTCTTGCAGAACAACGTAAATTTATTATATTATAACCAATAAATATGTGTTCAATGTAATTTTTATGGTACAATATTAGAGGGAAAAACTGTATTTTATTCTTTTTATATGCCGCCGCAGAGTCCACATTTTTTTTTAATGATCATCGCAGCGTTGTCGCAGCAATATCTACATTCCGAACAATAATACTGTAACCTTTTTTTCCTGCAATCATATTTTATGACCAAAAAATATACAGTAGTATAATACTGTACAGTTTATCAATGCTGTTACGATACAATAAAAATTGTGAAACTAGATAGGTAATGATATTCTTCATTGATTCTATAAGCGGGTATTTTTCGACGCAGTATCACAGTTATTATTACAGTATTTAAGAAAATTTCTTAGTTGACATGTAAACTAAAGAATAACAAAATGAGAAAAGAATTCTATACCAATTTCTCTCGACTTCTCCCAACTTCTTGAAAACGCAGATGACTATAACATTAATATAAAAGTTGGGGAAAATACTGAAACTCAAGAATTTCGTGCACATACTTTAATCTTAAAAGCACGTTCACCTTATTTCAAAAGGGCAATCTCCGATTCATGGGCTACCATTAAAGATGGAATGATCTTATTTAATAAGCCGAATATTTCTCCAACAGTCTTTACATTGATTCTTAAGTAATCTAGCATCCTTGATTTTATTCTTCTATATTCTATAATGTTCTAAATATACTAATATTAAATTTAAAACTAGGTATATTTATTCAGGAATTCTTGATTTAAAAGAAGTCTCTAAGCTTGATGTTCTCGACCTTTTAGTTGCATCAGACGAATTACTTTTAGGAGAATTAATTATTTATATTCAAGATTATTTTATCAATCAAGGGCATTCCTGGCTTAAAAGTAATTTCGTTATAATCTTACATACTTTTTTTCAGATTTCCAGTTGCAAAAAGCTTGTAGATTATTGCCTAGCCACCATATGTAACGATCCTGAACCTTTCTTTACGTCTGAGAGTTTTCCATCTCTTAATAAGGATATTTTTTTGGAATTAATTAAACGCAATGACCTTGAAATTGACGAAGTAGATATCTGGGAACATCTTATTACATGGGGACTTCACCAGACACAAGAAATAGAAAAAATGAAACTTTCAGATGTAATGAAATTTTCTGAAAAGAATTTTACAGATTTAAAAAAAACGTTAGATCCTTTTATTCCATATATTAGATTCCATGAAATTTCTTCGAAAGATTTCTTCAATAAGGTTCGCCCTTTTCAAAAAATTTTATTGGAACCACTTTTTGAAGATGTTATATCTTTCTTAATGGTCGGGACAGAACCGGAACAAAAGAAACTGCCAGCACGTTCTGGATTTTTTATAGCCGAATCCAAAATTATTACAAGAAAGCATGCTAACGTTATTTTGAATTGGATTGAAAGAAATAATGCACAGGGAGCTACGCCTAAAACAAATGGACATAAATTTACCTTACTTTATCGCGGAACTCGTGACGGATTTAGCGCTACTTCATTTCGTCAAAAAGTCAATAACCAAGGACCAGTGATTGCAGTCGTTAAAATAAAGGGTTCACAAGCTATAATTGGCGGATTCAACGCAACTGGATGGAACCTTAATGGTTCATACAGTTCTTTGAATAACAGTAACCGTCATTTTATATTTTCGTTTAAAAGTATTAATGATAAAACCGGAACAATTGGTCGACCTGGTGATAATAATGCTATAAGTAATGACAGCAATTATATATTAAACTTTGGAAGTGGCGATCTACTGCTTAGTAATAGTAAAGCTGGAATGTGTAACCAAATTTCTTATGATAAACTAATTTTAGACACTCACTGCTTTATCGCTGAAGAGTTGGAGGCTTTCAAAATAACGAATTTTAAAAAACTTTATTTTTTCTAGTATCCTATTAAAGATAGGATTTGATTTGTAATATGTTTAATTTAGTGATCAATCCAAATAAATATGCAAAAAAACAATCGTGCATTATTTTTGACATTTCAAATACTATCTTATTTTTTAGTAAAGCTAAACGGTCTGCTCATTTACTGACCATCCAGGTATCGTAATATTAAAAAACACTATATATGCATTATTGAGGGCATAATCGGTGTGTCTGTCATAAATTCTTTGTTAAATGCGACAAGTAAGTAATTCAAGGCATCTAAATCTTGAGGCGTTTTCAATTTGGCTACCAACTTCTCTCTAGCAACTAATACTTGAACCTTTACTTTTGCCCCAATTCTCTTAGGTAAATCTAGTCCTTTCGTGTCTAGTCACACACCTGGCGCACACGTGAAAACAAGAAAGAATTAGTTTTAACTTTAATGTTTATTTATTACTAGAACGTGAATGTTAATTACATGATATAGAATTACGCATGTATTTATACATGCGTTTATTGCTTACATATTTATATTCACATGATACAGTATTACCTGCGTCATATTTACTCATAACAACATATATCTTATAATTCAATAAAAAAATTTATTAAAATCTTTAAATACTATATATAAACACTGTATTTTAAGATTTAAAGGCAGAATGATGTAATCTTTTAAAAAGGATTTATTTTTTAAAGTTTAAATGATACATGAAAACTAATTTTTTTTTTGACCAGTATTAAATATAAGATTTTTATTAGATTTTGATTTATTACTATATTATTGCATCAATAATCTTACAAAAAGCAAATTAATTATAGCCTGTCAAAATACAGGTGATTTATATAAAACTTTAAAATCCATAAAAAATAAATAATAACCAGTTATTAATTATATTAATAAATATATATACATGTATATGTTTATTAAATATAAATAATAAAAAATATATTTGATTTGAGTTTTGAATTGTAACCTGAACCTATATAACTATTGTAACCAGAAAACCAAACAAAAAATTAGTGTTTTTGCTTATATTAACAGTTTAAAAATCAATATAAATTATTGTTCATATTAACCTTTTGAAAAAAATAAATTATAGATAGATAGATGTATATTTAATTATAAGAATATTAATATTAAATTATTATATTTTATTAAAAAATATCAAATATAAAAAAATTAAATATAAATTTTTTAATATTAATTAATAATATTATCTAAATATTATATTTTTTTTCTAATGTCATATTTTAATTAATTTTATATTATTTATTATAAAAAAACATATAAAATCATCTCTCCTAATCACATCTATTTTGTTAAAAATTTTTTTTAATGGTAATTTTAAGCAAGAAAAAATGTTTTACACTCTTTATCGCAAGTAAGTCCCAGCTTAAGAACTCAAGAACCTTCAAAACAACTGGTATAGTAGGATAGGATCTCTGGTCAAAGTCTACTCAAGTTTGGGAATCTTGCTTATTCTTCAATTATATGAAAAAAGACCTGTAGCAGTTCTTTTCTCTTTTGTTCTCTTGCACCCCTTCTTCTTTCTATTATATTATAAAAACTATTCACATATTTGCTAAACCAAACACTTTTCAAAAAATATACTCAAACAATATTATTAAGTCTATTATTTATTTCAATACAATCTTCACATTCAACCTTACTATAATATTACTTACTGTACCATTTCAAAATCCCTAAAAATTTTTTTCCAAAAAACTGAAATCAGTTTACTCCTCCAGATGATTATTGCTCTTCAATTATCCAATCAGATTTCATCAAAACAACAAAGAAAAAACTGAACCTATTTAAACCAGTTTTTTAATACTATCATAACAACAACAACTATCACAATAACAAATAACATCAACTATATTCTACTATTTATGTCAACAAGAGTCATATCTCTAAAACCAGTGTCAATGTAAGGGCCAGACTATTGGCTACCTTTTAGATATTCTTTTTGTTTATATAGATCTTATAGTTTAAGTGACTTAGTTTTAGTTTCAGTAGCTATAGTTGTTATTTTCTTTTCATTTATCTCATATTTAAAAAATTAGGGGATTTTATAAAATTTTATCAAGTAGATAGATATAGCCACTATCCTGCTATTTAATATTTTAATATTGCTTTGAAAATTTTTATAATATTAGTTAGATAGTGATCAAGTAGGCAAGCTAGCATTTAACTTGTTATATGCAATATGCACCCAAGAGATATTTCTTTCTCCATATATATATATTCAGTATACAATAATGAATAAAGAAATGATATTTACCTACTAGAAAAAATTCCTTCAAAAAATATATAAAAGCATATAAAAAAACTTAAATTTTATAAAAATCAAGTTATAAAATTAATATTGTTATAGTGAAATCACAGTAAATCAGTCGCTTCGATCTGTCTCATGCTGTGTAACGATTGAAACAGTTTCTGCTCAAAAGAGGCATGTGAATTTGATCAGAGTTTATAACGCTGATGCAAATCAATTTGTCGATTTTATGTCCTCAATGGTTACTTCACGTATAGCAATTTCATTAGCTATGCGACACTGGGGTCAATCACAAGACAATAGTAAGTATTAAATAACCTGTGAATCCATAGTATAGTAATTAATACTTCACTAATCAAATTATAAGATATCAATTCAACCCCACATGAGGGTGGTTAAATAGAATTAATATAGTATTTGGTATTATAATCTGTAAAAGCACTATTTCTCATAAGAAGTTGTTTCACATGCTAATTCAGTGAATGTTAAGATTGTGATTTTCAGAAAAGATATTATAGTGCAATGATTGTTCAGTTGGTGTTATGATAATTATTAGAAGTTGCAAGGTGTATGAGGTTAAAGATGGGTCCCTAAATTAAAGACGAGAACATAATTCAAATGTCCCTCACTATTAAAAAAGTTTTTTTTTTAAATATAAGGTTAAAAAAAAACTACCTACAAAGGTTTTTTGCAATTTAGAATACTTGATTCAAGTGTTTTTTGAATTATGTTCCTATTAAAATAATAAATAAATAATTATGTCCCTTTAAAAGGGACATAATTGATTTGCAAAATTTTATATGCTAAATAGTTTAGGGACCTATCCTTATATAAGGTGTTTGCTTTCGACAAGTAAATTTGATGATTACTTCTCTAATATCTGACATCTTTTATACAGATTCCTGCTCTAGTCTCATCCCAATCCAGTAATAAACTGGTTTGGTAGTACTTATCCTGAGAAGGTATCTGGCTATAAGTTCTGTTCTCTGCAATATAAGTTAGTGTTTAGACAATAAGTATCAGTTATAAGTACCTTAAATATTCTTGGGTAATATTGGACAGGTAAGAAATTAAATGAGTAGTCTAGCTACAGGTGGTGGTAAAAAAATTTATTTTCGATAAAGCAAGTAAGGATTATATAGCTTTATTTGTCAAAGGTATTATCCCTAGTACCTCTTTTCAACTTCCCCTTAATTCTTTCCCAGTTAGAAATAAAGCTGTATGATTACTAATAAACTTATATACTATTGGTTAAACAAAGAATTTATTTGTTCAGTAGATTAGCCTCTATACTTAATATAATTAGGAACAAGCTATAACAAACATTATTATTTGAAGCAATTTCAATAAGTATTGGATGTAACTGACAATTGATACATTATAATATAGTTCTAAATAATAATATCTAAAGATATACTGTATATAAACATTGTTATGAGAAATAAATATCCTGCCAGACAATTATCACTAGTGCATTTTAAATATATTGTTAGTATAAAAATTGTAATAGGGGGCATGACGCGACATGTGGGGCCCAGCGCGGTGCCGCATGAGGCATTGATCATGCATCAATCATGCATGATTGATGGGCGCCGAGTTTATAGAAGTTTAGTAATTTTGCATGATGTGACGGTAGATTAGGGAGACGCGTCGCAACTGTTTAAATAGCAACTGTACCCAGAATAGAAAAAAAAACACAAGTTGAATTAATAAAATCTGTTTCCTAAAAAGACCAA